TTGTAGGAGCCTGCACTGGAGCATCCAGGAGGCAGGATTTCACCCTGGAAAACACTGCTATAGCAACACCCTGCTCTCCTTGGGAGAAGATTTGCTTACCAAAGCTGTCTTGGAAGGGATGGTTGCTGTGAAAGCAGCAATGGGTGAAGCTTAGGCAGTGCCCTGCACTTGCGCTGACGTTCTCATGCAGTGAGTAGCTCGACTGCGAGGCTGGAGATGCAGGACACTAGGGATAAATCTTGATGATGGTTAAGGTGGCATTCAACTTTCATCGCAGGTGAGGGAATCTGCCTGTTACACATATAGCTAGCAGCTGTGCTTTTGGGGGCTGATGGGGCTGTCCCATGTTCCCCGGGAGCACAGACTCCAAGTCAAGACTGGGAGCAAGCTCAGTGTCACCATTGCAGAGTCTTTTGTGGGCAGAACTGTAAGTCTACATGCCGTGGCTGTAGTCTCTAGCCTTTTAACTCTTACTCTGCTGTGTTTGTTGCACCTGGGGTGCTAGTGTAGCTCCCTTCTAAAGTTTCATTTTCTCTTTCTGTATTATAGAAAGGCTTTAACAGTGGTGAGTTTTGGGGGCTGGGAGAAAGCCTTCAGTCATGTAGCCTCTAACTGTTGCAAAACCTGGTGCATTCCTTGGTCTCTGAATCTCCTTAACACTTTGTGAGCTCCAGATCACCTGGAAGCTGTACTGTAACTACCTGAAAGCATGGACAACTTCAACAGGTCCTAACAGAGAATTGAGAAAGGAATTCTTGTTACTGGATATTGATAATAAATATCTATGGAAAACCAGTTCCCTTTTCATTAAAAAAAAAAAAAAAACAAAAAAACAAAAAAACACTATAAGACCCAGAGAAACCTGCTTGTAGTGTTTCTAGAAGCTGGAATTGTACTTGTAATATGCCTGGAAGAAGTTACTTCCTCTAAGCTGCTAGGGCTTCGTATTCCTTCACTTGCATGGGTGATGAAGGAAAAATAAGGCAAGTCTGAAAATCCCACCTCCTGTGGGAACTAGCTTGCAGCTTTGTTCACCCTGAACGCACTGTGAAACGTCTTTCAAGCAGCTTCTGTGGGGAGAGAGTTTATGATGATAGCTGTTCAAGATACGGAGACCATGGCGGCATCAACGGTGTGCTTTAAGATGGGTCTGCAATGCAAGTGTTGCCTTGAGATGTGCCACAGAATCCCACCGTACTTAGCAATGGCACATAGGGATCTACTCATCTGGGACTTGGTCATATGTGATGGCTTTAAGAGCTAAAGTTCTGGTTGTCCTGCACATGATGTATACTTAATCTGCATCGAGTAAGCAATGCTTTGCCATACCTTGCTTTGAAGCAGGAGATTTGGTTGGCCCCAAGATCTAATCCTTGCCTTGATGTGCTTTAATGCATTAATAGATTGTGATTTTTAGCTAAAAATGACTGCTATTAAGGCATTGATTAGGTTACATTGCAGTCTGCTAAATATTGTCGGGTGACTGTTCTCCAGGCCCTACAATTTGCTTGGTTCAAAACAGATTTATCTGTAGCACACGCAGGAGTAGCACTGGATTACACTAGTTCCCTTAATGAATGTGAAAAGGCAGGTGTTTACTGTGCAAAAGTTAATGCTCCCAGTTCTGTGCTCCTTTTCCACGTTGCACTTCTCTACTGAATTGCCAAATCTGTAACTTCATGTTTTCAGGGAGCAGAAGTGTAACGGCAGAACAAGTGAAGTCTTTGCAGGGCAGAGTTTAATATAGGTATTTATATTGGTATAAATAGATGCAGCTCCACTCTGCATATAAGTAAACCTGATACAGGAAAGTAAACCTTTGATCCTAGTCATGCATTCTCCTTGTGTTGCCAAATCTGTCCTAGCTCTTCCCCGCCCCAACAAACTGTTTAAGTTCTTGTGCTTCATCTGTGCCAACCCATATCTGCAAAAGAGCATCCTTCAGATTTTGATCAGCGTGTTGCCTTATAATTTGGGAGGTACCTTCTGCAAAACTCTGAATCTAGAGAGGCAAGTTGTATTTGTCTAAAGACTTGAATAACTTTCCCTCTCATTTCACAGGAGATGGGACAGGAGAGAGGCTGGGAAATGTTTAACTAAACAGGTCTTGCTTCTATTTAGCAGTAAGCCCATTATTAGCTTAAAAAGGCAGCAGCTAAATCTCACCTTCTAATGTCCTTTAAAAACTGTTACAGAAAGCTTTACCTGAATCACAAAACCTGACACTTAGGTGAGGAACTTGGGTTTCTGTGAGGTTTTTGCCATGCACAACTAATTGACTTTCCTCTTACTTTTCTGGAGCCTGGGCGAGGGGGAAAGCTGACTGTTCAGGGCAGCTGCTATGCTTGAAACACCTCTGCAGATGTCCCCTCAAATAGCTCGTTTCCATTAAGATGCCCAAGCACTGTCGGGAGCCTCTGTCTAGGTTGGGGGTTTCTAGGCCACAGTAACATGTTTCAGAACCTGTCTTGATGGGACCCATCTAGGAGCTCAGGAAGCGTTGGGTGGGGGTGATCGTAGCTGGTTTTATTCTAGAAGCACAGCAGTAGCCCTAAACATGGATTCTGGGCTTCTGTCATAGCATCAGGCTAATAAGGCATCATTGAATCTCCACTAGGCAGGTGAAGGAGGCCTTGTTTTCTGCCAGGTAAGGGTGGTGTCCCCATGACAGGCCCGGTGTAATGGTGCCAGACCCTTGTTTAGTCTCTGTCCAAAAAGAGCTTCTGAAGTGACTAAACTGTGCTACTGGTGCCCAGAAATTAGGTGCAGTTTCTGGATTCCTTTCCCCTGTCGTTGGCATAAGGCATTTGGTGACTTCATGTGGTGTCAGGTTAGCTCACTTGTAATTGCCTTTAGAAGGTAATTGTTGGACCTAAGAGTCTGCGTTACAAAATATTGAAGATGGATGCTGATGTATGTCAGTGGGGGTTTGCTCCAAGGAGGGGAGTAGTGCAGGTGCTGATGGAAATCACCACTCTTTCACTTCTGCCCTTGTTGCTCCAGTGTCAAAGCTACCAGCTGACTGCTCGCATGTGTTTACCTAAAGCAGAGCTGAAATTGTGAGAGAACTCACTGGGGGGAAAAAGTGTCAGGAAAAGACTTGTCTTGAAAAGACAGGAAAATGACATCCTGGTGAGCTGATTAGCCTGAAATATAAATGGAAGATTTTTTTTTTTCTTCGAGGGTAAAACCTGTTCACAACTGACAGCTTAGTAGCTGAAGTGGTTTTGCAGGCTGATGGTGACATTTCATTAACAGGAATCCCTACGCTACATCTTGCATTGTGCATAACCACAAGCTATATTTGACTAGTGAGACATGCAGAAGCAAAGCGGACTAAGGCAGAACAAGCTTTTTTGCTTTTTTTGACAGACTTTTTATTTTCTTGTTGTCACAGCCTGTTCAACGCTTTCTTCCATGCTTATGGAAGTAAGTCTCAGTTTCTGACTTGACCCACGCTTTATTCTTCACTTGCTCCTAACACCTGGCTCCAGCTCATTTTATGACTGATGTATAAGCCCTAGTTCTTCATAGGGGACAGTAGTTGCAGCTTGGCTGATTTTTTTTCTGTTTTAATTTTTCCCCCTCTTCTCTATGTGATGTACTTCTCATTACAAGGAGCTTTCTGAATTAAAGATGAGTTTAGTCACACTAAGGAGAGTTGCTAGACATCATTCTTAGCCATGTTGGATCAAAGGCATTATATGAACGAGCTGGAAAACTAATTTCTGAAAAGAGAGCCTTTGTGGTTTAACACCAATTCTAGGTTTTTTGATAGCTGACAGTTGGATAATGTTTCTCTTAATGGAGAAAAACAAAAAAAAACAACCCAAAACCAACCTGGTCTCCCCATTAAAAAGTGTGTGGCTGAGCGGTTAGCTAAAAATAGCACTTCTGTAACAGCCTTTATTCTTTCACAATGTAGTATCTATTATGAATGTGTCCAGCTGATGGTTTAATGTGTGAGACTCCTGACTGGCTAGTCTTTGAATCCACTTTTCTTCTGTTTAGTTTAGAGAGAGGCCAGTGGCAATCTACTTGTTTCCCTTTCTCCTTTCTCCCGCCCCTGCCCTTAAAAGCCTCTTTGTTATATTGGGACTGCCTGAAGTTCCTGCAAATAGTATCAAGTGCCCTCAAGCACTTTCTTGTCACTGAAAGGAAAGCAGCTACATTCTGGTCTGTACTTGGTGACCAGAGTTGCTTGACACTTCTTCCTGCCGTGAAACCTTTGGTTCCTCTGATGGCTTGTCATGATGTTCAACTGAGTAAATGAAATCTGTTGTTAAAATCTGGATGGAGTTTGCCATCTGCCACCAACTTTTTGTAAGCTGAGCACACCTTAATATTTGCTTCCTTCTGAATTTGCATTAGAAACCCACAACAGCATTTATAGTTCACAACCAAATTTCACTCAAACACTTCTCAATTGCTTCTGAAAATACAGAAGCAACGGCTGATCTATGGCTTTGATTCCTCAGTGTCCAGAAGTACTCAACAGTACTGTCAAGTTTTAAAAAGGGGTGTTAAAAAGTAGCAGGAGAGCAGGGAGAGAGTCGGATCCATTACAGGAAGGGTCCCTAAGCCACCAGCTGTGTACCTGGCATCCCTGAGCTCCTGGAGATACCACAATCCCTAGTGACCTTGCTCTGTATAGGATTTATTTTTATCTTGATGCCATTCAAAGGCATGTTAAAATGTGAATTACCAAAGCATTGAGTCCAAAATAATGTCAATGTGTGTCCTATATGGGAATGAGAAGTGCTATGGAGAGGAACGAATTCTAAATATGGGTCACTTATGTTCGATTACCTGTGAGCTGCATACCTTTCAGCTGAACAAGCACATGGAGATGACACTTATTCCATCAGCTCATGTTGAATCTGCAAATGCTAGTTAGAAACTTTCTATTGTGTTCTTTAGCACTTGAACTGGGGCATCTAAGACAGTGACTTTCATACCACACCTGTGAACTAAGTATGAATTCCCTTTCTCCTTTGCAGGAGCTGAAAGCATCGTTGCAATTATGATTGGCAACCTGAAAGGCATGGAGATCTTACACCGGATTGAGAGCGGCATGAAAGTCATGATGGTTATTGAAGTCGGGAAAAAGCATGGTGATTGGCTGAATCGATACTCTGTCTTCTTCATCTCGGCGTCGTTTTTCATTCTCGCAGCATCAACTATTGGCTTCTTTATTTTTTATTCTGTTCGAAGACTGAGGATTGCAAGGGCCCAGTCCAAGACTCAGGTGAGTTCATGTTGGCCATTGCTTTTTTTTTTAATACCCTGAGCCTCTGTGCTGTGATTCTTGAGGGTAAAAACTACTTAA